CCCATCACACCAATACAACAAAGGGAAAACTACAGAAAGCTGTCTACGGCAATAACTAAAACGAGAAAACAACCTCTTTTCCTTTTCTCAGTTCCTTCAGCTGTGCTGTGCCATCATTGATCTTCGCCTCCAAGTCGCGAACCGACTCCTCGAGATCTTTTAGCTTGCGCTTTCTCTAAAAACACAGGCAGTTTATGGAATTTCTACGGCTGTTGAGTGGGCGTTCAACTTGTTTTTACCCGGAGCTTACAGTTTGTAACGCTTTCGACGGAAATGCCCAGTAGCAGACAAAAGTGCCTATTTTCTCGCATTCCACGAGACCATCATCGACCAACGATTGAGTGACTTCCTTCACCGACTGAGCTATTACACCTTTTTGTTTCGGTGCGATCTACAAGAAAATGCTCTGCGGATTCCGAATGACCTTACATAAGAAAACCAGGCGCTCATCCAGTAAGGGGGGCATCAAGTGGCTGCCCTCACCCCCCACCCCCTAGACTGCCTACACTCCCCCTGGCGCACAGGTTTCTCGAAGTACGGGACCCCGTGAGCCAGGGGGAGTGAAGCCAGTTCAGGGGGTGGGGGGTGAGGGCAGCTATTAGACGTTGCATCACAATGCCCCCCCCCCTTACCGGATGAGCGCCGATGTGACTGAAGAGAACATTTGCCTTTTCGATGAGAACATACATAACGTACATAGAAGCTTTTGTTGCGTCAATAAACCCTAGGCGTTTTATTCATGATATCAGCGCGCGTACGAGCTTGAGGCGCACGTGCAACTGCATGCGCGCGAAGTTGTTACGCGTGTTTTCCTTATGTTGCCTTCCATATGGTGTGATGATCCGCGTGAGAATTGAGAGAGATTCTGGAATCCGTCGTTGGCTGCTCCGCGAATTAGTCCGTCTTTTTTCTTCGCTTGATATCCAGTTTAGTTCGAAGTATGCTGAAATCAATTGTGTTTTTTCTTTTGAAAATGTCCAGTCGTTAATCACTTGCAAATCTCTTGAAATTAATCTTACCAGCGAATTTGTTTTTATACGTCTGACCTGATTAGTCGAAATAGAGTTGGGAAGAAACTGTTTCAGTGAGAGAAAGGGTTTGACTATCGTGCAGGTCCAAGCGTTATTTTGGTTAACAGAGCATTACACCATAAGATCGAAGCTCGAAGGAAAATACACCCAGCCAATAGGCAGGCGGGCCCCTGAGGGCGCCGAACAATGCGCGTTCTCCATGAGGAAGCCTCCAACGGCCTAGCAGGGCCGTACCAGCGCCGCTTCCCGCCTATCGGCTTTCTAAGGCCGATGTCAGACTTTGCGAATCGCGCGATTCGCTAGCGTCTGCGGTCGCGTCGCGGCCAGTGAATCACTCAATTGGCTGGTACCGCAACGCGACCGCGGACGCTAGCGAATCGCGCGATTCGCAAAGTCTGACATCGGCCTAACCCTCGTCGTTAGGCCCTATCCGCGGAGTTTACGGCTTCAGCAGAGAGCAGGGCAGGGCGCTTGCACTGATGAAGTTAGCAGACTCGCTCGAGTGCAGAAATCAACGGGCCAAAAGGGACTCACTAGACCCATTTCTTTTTTTCTTCATCCGTGCATCATCACTCCTCCCCCACCTCTTTGGGGGTTTCCCACTGTAACTGTCGTGGTTTGCATAGCGTCACTAGACGTAGACTAGATTCATCTTGAAATACTTCGCACACCGCCCCAAAACTGAGAACGAGTGTCCAGCGGGATGAAGGCATTTCTATAACGGCTAAAATGGCAGAATTTCCCGAATTTCTACAAATTTTGTAGGCAATTTTCTGACATCCCAAAAATCTATCTGTTTTCATAGCCCGCCGAAATTATATCCCCTTTTCTCCTTATTCAAATCCGGATCGGAGAATCACAAAATCCGATCTCTTGTCAGGAAAATCCCAACAGACGCTTGACCTTGCTTCCGCGCCATATTGGGGAAAAGCAGGGTAATATGTAGGATCATCATAAAATATTGATACGATCAGTGATAATACATACTCATGAATTGGTCAGTGAAACGATCAGTGATATGAAAGATAAAGGTCATTGGTACTTGAACGCTACGATTTGTTACGCTGCGATTCAACCAATTAACGAGCACAGCCTTATTTCGCTGAGGCACAGGATGGAAGACTACTCCGTTTGGTAGCCCGTATGACCGCGTGAGCAATGTTCTGTAAATTTTGAGCTCGCATTACATGTCAGACCTTCGATACGATTTGTCTTTCAAACTCTAATATGTCTCCGTGACCTCATTTTTTGTGGATTGGAATTTACGTAGCTCTTTCGTTACAAGCGACATCTTGCTGCATCTCTTGAAAACTTCTCTTTACAGCCAGAATGGACTCTCTCCCTGCTATCCTAGTGACCCCTAACAGTGTGCTGCTTTTCCTATTATAGTTTCTTGCTAAATCAGACTTTAGATTATTTTTTGTTGGGTACACGAATAAAAGGATACACAAAAATTTTGTGCTTACTGGTTAATCGACGACCGACTAGGAGCCGTCTCTCTGGTGCAAATTCCGTCCTTGATGAGTTGCTCACGAATCTCGCCCTGTCGGCTCATTCCAAGTCGTGTCCTTAAAACATAGAACAAACCAATTTCTTTTGTACACATGAGAATTTCATTCTGATTAAATCGGTATTTCCTTCAAGCGGGTCTAGAGTATCTCCAGCCGTGCCATAATCGGGTGCATGTCCAGGAGTTACCATCGCAGTGAGCGGGGCATTCAAGCTCACTTTTTGTTATCTTCCGCATGGGCTCGCACTGCGCACCTAGACCAGGAAGAGATACTAGTGTATAGCTTCAATTACGACAGTAGTGGCCTAGTAGGCTAGAGTTCACTTTCAGCAAAATTCAAACAGCATTTTCAAATTTGAATATGATTGTAACGTCGCCCTTAGCAATTATCTAAAGCATTTCCAAACCCCAAATTTTTGTGAAAAACTTTCGACCAATTCGACGTAAACTTTACGAAACTCACCTGCTTTCCAAACTGCCAGAAAGAGGAACTGAAGGAGTCGTCAAATGCCCCCTCACTTTGCTCTGTCTCGTTTTCCTGCGGGGAGAACCCGAAGGTGGCCGAAGGGGCGGTAGTTGGGTAAAGCGGGGTCAGAGCTGTTTGGATCCTAAAAGAACACCGGCAGGCCGTATTTTCGCTGTACCTGTGCCGTGCGAGGTTGTGGTGGATGCGGTGGTCAATCCCGGGCCGTGACTCTAGGGCTGGTTGAGGTCAGCCACATCGTCTAAAACCCTAGTCTCACCCCGTGCATCAACTGACTTCTTGGGCAACTTGAAGCGCCTCCTTAATGAAGAAACACAAAGAATGATCAGTGTCCGGAGAGGCAATGTTTCATGCACAGCTCACGTCCTTCCGGGAAAAGGGGCCTCACAGGCTGCGGATCGGCACCGAGTGGTAGACGATGACAGTGCATATCTTTGATTTTCGGGCTCGTTCATTTTCACAATATTCACAAAAGAGTGAGGGCAGGCGGAAAACATCCCGACCAACCACAGCACTGACACCTTTTTTGCAAAGGCATTCATTTTTGTATTGAAGGTATTCCCCAGTGTTTTTACCCGTGTTTGCTAAGCAGTGTGAGCAGGTTTTTCACCATCAGCGCGTCGGGTGTTCTTTAGCGCAGGCAGACTCCAAATAAAGTACTTCCTGCCTCGCCTATTTATACTTAGCGACAGGTTCTACAGCAAAATAGATTCACTATTTCCTTCTCCCTTTAATGAAAACATATCACACAGTGTACCGTAACGCAGCCGACATGGAAAAGCAATGGACGTATGAAGACGATTTTTAGAGCCGAACCGTACACAGCATACCGCTATCAACGAGTAGGGATTCGGCATTGGCCAGTGCCTCTCAGGGACGCGCCACCCACTCGCCTTCGGTTCATAACCACAGTAGCTTGAATATGACCTTGCCTATACAAATGGATGTGAGATTATATGTCAGCGGCTTTATTGACCCACACGGGTCTGCGAAAAACTGCTGAGCCCGGCGAACTACGCTCCGAAATGTGAACTAACCACTGGAGTGTGCGCGTGGTAAGCGGTAGAATTTGCTACTACACCATCTCAAGCAAAGAGAATCACCAGGTTGGATGATTGAAGTTGTGCTAAATCAGACTTGAGGTGAGGAGCTATGATGATCTCTATATCTGATGGAAAGTCCGCATAGACACCAGTAGTCACTGCGCCCAAAAGTTTCAGGGTCTTCCCCCCCCCTCAGACATGAGCCTTCAAAAACAAAATGAACCAGTCAACAGTTTGTAGGTTGCGAACGCAGCGGCTAACCCTGTTACTATGGAGGGGGGGGGGGCATTGCACGTCGCGCCAATAAACGCACACTCAGATATCACTGATTTTGAAAACCGCATCGTTCATTTCAAGTGGTTCCGTGCAAGGCAAGCGAGTGGTATGTGCCAGTCCCGAACATCTTCACATTTCCTTTTTTGATTCCGGAACTCAGCGCAAGCTTCTCACCGATAATCTCTAACTGCCGTCACAAGTGGCGATTCCGTGCGACCTTCTTTGGCATCCTTCGGCCTGACTGAACCCGTTTGACGATATCTGAAGTGAGTGAATCATCGTCATATAAAACTCATCTATACTTGGTCGGCATGTTTCTCACTCCACTTCTTACCTGTTCAAGATTTTACTCACACAGCTATGAGTGACACAGAGACGCTTTGAAATATCGCAGATTTTCCATCCGGCCTGGAAAATTCAAATGTAACTCACGGTGAACATATTCTGCAGCAGGGTGAATATTGCTTGAGGATTCCTCAACGGCACGTCGAGGATTTTCGCCTGATCCTTTACGTTCTCGCGCGCGGATATTCACTCTCGCCACCCGCGAGCCGTCTGTGCTCTCCGCGCGTACATTCACTCTCGGCACTACTCTCGCACAGCAGAGAGCGATGGTCGAGGATTCCTCGACCGTTATTCACCCTGTTCTGCAGCATTCCAGCATAGAAACGGTAGCTTTCCAGCCGCGAGCGAAAAAAAATGTGAGGGCGACACCTCATGTGGGACTCTCAAACACAATTTTGTCACGGCGCACGACGGTTAAGTCTTTAGTCAGCTAGGAAGCAATCCCCATCCCTTACGTAATTCATCTGCGCCGAGGCAGTGTAGCTCGCCAAGTAAGCACAGGAATGGGGTTGCCTACCCAGTTCACCCGTTAATTTTTTCCAATACATGCCAACTAAATGATCAAATCGGTACGATTTCGTGACATCAGAGTTCAACTGGAAAGGCGGGTGGTATCCTGAAGCTATGTGTCACTATACAGGGAGGTCCAAAAAGAAAGTTCACTTTACCAATAGCTCACATCGGGAAACTCTTCGTCACACAGGGTGCAGCCGTTAATGAATACTTTAGTATTACGCGGATGCTCCTCCAAAAGCACGAGAAGGCTCTCCTTTACTGTCCTCAACGTTTTCAGAATATGACGTCATCTGCCTGCCGAGCTCAACGAGGCCCACTGTAATTGCTCCGCTCTGGAGTTGCTCCATAATTTCTCCATTCGGAGTGGTGGTGCATAGCTTTCCAAAGACTGCAGCTATGACTACGTGAGATCCTTTTACGATATCGCCTTAATAGCCTACTAGTCGTCGAAGACCTCATTGAGCTACAACCGTGCGCTTTGTTCCCGTGGGAAATTCTTTTGCAGTCTTCCTGTAGACGGCCATTGTGAAGTTTTTTGAAGGACTGAAACATGCTCTTCACTCTCCAAATGGTGAGTTACTTTGATCTTAGCAAGGTGTAATTCCATTAGAAGTGGAGGGGAAGTGAATCTTCCTCCTCCCCCTCCAGTACATAGTATCGTGAATAAGCACCAAATAGAGTATTCTCATCTATAGTAAGGCAGAGATAATTCTCTTGATAGTGGGACGTCCTTGCCTGTGCCTGACACCAGGCCCCTTCGTAGCCGATCCGTGGCATTTACCTGGCGAGGAGCGCCCTTGGTAGTTACGCAAGGCACGCCTGCGGTAACGGATGGCCACCAGGGTCAACCGTCACGTTCGAACATTTTCAGGGTTTTTGCGACCCCCTTTTCTCAAGGGGGTCACCCCCTTATCTCAAGGGGGTCCAGTTGCGACCCCCTCTTAGGTAATGGAAGTGCCGAATGTGCTGACTAAATGTTAAGTGAAATATTTATTTCACTCATTTTACTTCAAAGACAGTGAACTAAAACCTTTTTCAAAGCTAAACATAATAAAAAAAAAAAAACTGAACTTCCATGACATACTGAACAAAAACCTTTGAGATATCGAATTCTTTCCAAAACTTTTTTGAGACATTTGACTGAATTATCTTTCAAAAAAAATCATTGAATTTTTTTCAAAAAGTCTCTATCACGACCACGGTCACGCGAGTCTCGATCCCGTCTAAACAGTCAAACTGACTCTCCATACTCCGACCCTCAAGATTACAAAAATAACTCTACACTGAATGAAAAGGTGTTGTGTTCAAAGTGAAAAAAGAAAACTGATTGTAAGAGTAGGACTGATTTGATTGCGTCAGAAAGCGTCCGCGCCGCCGCCGCAGAAAGCGTTTGCGTTGCGGCGTCAACCTTGGAGCGCGGCAGGTATCACCCGGACGCTGGAAAACTGGGACGCGGCGAAGAAAAAATTTTAGGAGAGTGTAACTTTCTTGAGACGTATTTGTTTCACTTATTGAGGTAGGTTTAAACTGTGCCTGAGGTGGCTTTACAGAAAATTGCAAGGATGACCTAACTCTCCAAAAGTATTTCTGTCAGAAGCGGAAAACCCAAAATTCTGAGAAGGCGCACCTTCCAACTTTGAAGGCCCATAAAATCTTTCGTATGCGACATTTTGGAAATCTGTAAAAAGTTTCAGAAACTTCAAATATTTCTCTAACAAAACAGTATAAAAAGTTTAGTGATTGTCCCCTTTTTCAAAAATTGTCCCGTTCGAACATTTTTCGTGCAAAAGCGAGTTTTTGGGCTTTCAGCGACCATAACTCACTTCATTTTCATTTCTGTGTTTCCCTCTTTCCATGGGGTGAAAGAGCAGGATTTGCTCTTTCTAACAAGCCCTAAACCATTTTTCAAAGTTCATTTTTCGAGAAAATCCCACGTTCGAACATTTGGATCCCATAGGTTTTTGAGCAGCACATGCGAGTTTTCGAGCTTTCAGCAATAATAACTTCCTTCAAAGAGCATGTTGGAAAGAGGCGAAGACATTTTTGAAGACTACGAGGTTTCTTCTTTCTTATGTGTTTTACCGTTGTCTGGAAGAATCGTCCTCAGAAAAGTAGGTCCCGAAGAACTTTAATTTCAGCCCAAGAAGTCAAACCTTTCATGGAGATGCATTCAACTGTTCTCTATTCCTCAAGGAAAACACCGTAATTTGCCTAAAACTGTCTCTCTGTGCATAATTAATCGAATCTAATGCGGTCTGCACAAACAATTCTTGCCCTCGGATACGCCACGCACGCGCCTGTGGCTGGCAGTCCTCGAAATTGCGACCCCCTTCCGACCAAAATGCGACCCCTTCGTTCGAACAGTTCGAACGGACGGTTGACCCTGGCTTGGAGTTACGCAAGGCACGCCTGCGTAACGGATACCCTTGTGACGAGATCTACCTAAATGTGGCGGACTCGATCTTATGTCTTCTCGTAATTTCCCTGTGAGAAAAATCAAAGGGGCAAAAAGGGGTTTCATTTTGCAGGTTGTAAGGCGTTTCGCTGATTCCCCTTCACCACTGCACCAATTGCCACCTCAATTTTTACTACCAACGGCAACCATTTTATTAATGCATCTTTTTCAATGTGCACTGAATATAAGGAAATTCATAGTTTTCAGAAACTGTGGGTCGGTTTTATTCCGTGCCTAAAAAGAGCAGAAGAATGCCTACGAAATCAATCAGCAAAGGGAAAATGTAAAAACTTGTGACTAAAGTGATTGAGTTTGAGCCGCCGGTTCTACAGATTCGTCAGAGATAATGAGATATCGTTTTTTTCCCCCACATCACCTTAATTCTGCTCTTTTTTACAGATTTTCAATTACAGATAAGTCTCCACTCTGCCTTTTTATGTTCGTCGCCACTGGAATGCGAAAACGAGAGACAGACATGATTGATGACATAAGCCTAGGAATCTGAATCAGATCCAGGATGAGTCAGTTCATCTTGCTCTGCCTGATTTCCTTCATTCTCATCATATCCGTGCAGATTAACAGATAAGAAGCTTTAGAGCACGTTTTTATAACTATTGGACACTTGGAAAGCTGAACTCATTAGAGAATGTAGGGTGTACTGGAAACTAAGACTCTATTCATAAAGCAGTCATTCCGTTTGGACTGCAAAAATAGAGGGTATTTCAAATAACACTCCAAGTATGTAACCTGTAATATCGGTACGACAATCGACTTGTCTCGCCATACAATACAGTGCGTTTCATAATTATAAGGTCACCCTAAAATTTTGCATTTCCGGAAAAAGCAGCAGATGGGAATTTTTCTAGTATTACCAGCTGATTCCTCACTATGAATAATCCCTATATCGAAATTTTGGCGGGAGCAGCTTTTTTCTAACTTTTTTAAAAATGTTTTTTTTTCGGTTTTTGCACCAAACTGGTACAAGGGTCAGCCGTGTGTTGTGCATTTCAATTTACGATTCTCTCCCCTTTTGGAGGACATTAGAACGACTCCCTAGTTTGAGCTACAGTGTCTTTACATATTTTTATGCTCATCATCGACGATATGTTTAGAAATTACTTCTATTTTACGAGTTAAATTTCATTTTGCATTGATTCCCGTCCTTTCAGCGAGACAAAGCGTGCGATCTTACCACTGTCCGTCACCGACATGGAGAGGTGGTGGACAGTGGTAATCCGCACGCTTTGTCTCGCTCAGAGGACGGGAATCGAGGCAAAATGAAGTTTTATTCATTAAATAGAAGAATTTCCAAATTTTTGCGTAAACCAATATATGATTTAATCGCAAGATTTCTACTTTCAGAAACCTACCAGATTTTTTCGATCTCTCAACTTCTCCTTACCTTATAATCTGAAAAACTAAACCTTGTAGCAATTACGTTAACGATACAAACCCTTCATTTAAAAGGTTATACCTTTTTTCTTTCTTCTTCGGTTGTCATGAGATGGGATACAAAACTTTAATATCACAGGTTGTTAGGTTGTTCCGAGTTTTTAATTTGTTGCAGATGTTCAATACTTCAAAAAATCGTCCCGTTGTTCCTTTTTTGTGCACACGCGAGTTTTCGACATTCAAACATTCATAACTTTCTTCATAATCAACTTTTTGCAGATGTCTAAGGCTAATTAGAAACTAGAAGATTAGCGCTTTACAAGTACCGAAATTTTCCAAAGACCACTTCTTCGAAAAATAGCCAAAGAAGTATGTAGGTCTTCTATTTTTCAGGGATTTGTGGTCCGATTTTTGAACGCGCGAGTTTTTATCATTCAAGCGCTCCCAACTTCCTTCACTGTTAACTTTCTCTAAGGCTAACCAAGAACGGGAGGGCTTACGCTCTCACAGATATTAAAATTCTTCTGATTGACCACTCCCTCAAAAAATCGTCCCTTGTTCCGTTTTCTCCCTCTACGGCTTTGATAAGCTTTTCTCCTGGAACGCGAGTTTTCAACCTTAAATGGTCATAAGTTTCTTCAAATTCGGTATCAGAGAAGCGGTAAAATCCATTGAAATCAGCAAGATTAATACCTTTTAA